TTACTCCTCGGATGTCCAGGGATTATCAACGACAGGAACACGGTATGCCATTGAAAGGAGAAGCCGGGGGGGGGGGAGATTTAGGGGGATGACGAACACGGGCCAACATCTGTATGGTGCAGCCATCATGCCATATGGATTGAACCCATCTGTTGCCAGCGCGACACGTACATTACGAGCCTCCTCTGCTTTGATAGGATGCCTCAAATTGAAGTACTTCCATGCATCAGCATCGGATGGATGTACCATCTTCTCAGGATTGTATCGTGTGCCGTTTTTGTGCCATGTCATCTATTTCGTGGATTCCTCGGTCATGAATAGTCATTGGAGCCTCGGTAGGAACGGAAGGTGTCATAGGACTCTCATGGGCATCTTAAGCTGCCTCTTCTGGCCATCGCCTGAGTCTACCTCCACGTACCTAGAGGATTTACACTTCGAGCAGTACTTTGAATCCGCGTGTTCTTTCCTAAATAGGACGCACCCCTTCAGACACACATGTATCTTGTCATACGACATCTTAAGTGCAAGAAGGAGCTTCTCTGACTCGTACAAGTTCTTTGGCATAATGTGTGTCTTCGGTAGCATATCGCTCCACACGGCCACCATCTTGTCGAAGCCTTCTCGACTTAGGTTTAACTCAGCCTTCAACCCCATTACATGACCAATGGCATCCAACTAAGAAACATTAGTATGATCGTGAAGGGGTCTCTGTGCCGAGTCCAACATCAGGTAGAAGGCATCTGTGGCAGCCTCCATCTCCTCCTTGTCACGTCCTTCAGCGAACTGAGCTTGGTGCATGTCATCCAGCATGTCTGCTACCCCGGCATCATCATCAAAAGCCTCGAGCCATGGTCTCACCACCTCCTCCCTGATACGATCGGCTTCACCATGGTGGATCCACCGGTGGTAGCCCGGAGTAAATCCAAACTTCACAATATGTTTACCTATGGTTAACCTATCTTTCCTTCTTCTGTTGTCACAACCGTTGCATGGACAAACCACTAGAGAATGGCCTCCAGCACTCTCGCCAAATGCATGCTGTAAGAATTCTTCGACCTTGACTATAAACAACAAGTCTTAATCGTGCTCGTCTCTCCGGAGTGTGTACATCCACTCACGGTCCTCCATCCTTTAACAGACGTATCAGCACATATGAGTCACCATCAATTGCATCTACGTGGTGTCCCTGCTCTCTAATAGGTGAGGATAGGTCATAATCCCACCCACGGATCCGTAGATGATGTTAGTTTCCATGCTCCGCTCCTATCCGAGACGGAATTTCAGTAGCACCTCCCTGCTGTTCTCCCGATACACGTCCTGCAAGGGAGAGTGTGTATCCAAAGAACAACATGGGGGTGATGCCGAAACACCATCTCGGACCAGAGCGGACCATGGAAACTAACCCATCTATGCATCCGCAGGTAGTCCAAAAAACGTGGACAATCCGAAACAGAAACACTCGTAGATATGCAAAGATCTTGATACCTCCAAACATATCTCTTTCGGACGGGAGACGCCTAACTAGGATACACCGATCTACGATGATAGACCAGAGGAAAAAGAGGTGATTTATACCTAGGGTGTCGGTGAAGTCAGGCTAGTGAGGTAGTGGCGATTCGATGCAGTGGCGAGGCGACATAGTGCAGGCAGACCCGCGACGCCGACAAAGACGATCGGGGACCTCCAGGTCACCTCCGACAGGTCCTGCTCTGTAAAAGAAGAAACACGACACTATAAGTTCAAAATTTCGGCAGCACCTCCCCTGCACGGGGAGGTTTCCAAAACCTATAAAAAACAACGGCACGAAGGCCGACAATGACAAACGGCACGAAGGCCGATAAGCACAGCGGCACGAAGGCCGACATCACAATGGCACGAAGGCCAACAATCACAAACGGCATGAAGGCCGATAAGCACAGCGGCATGAAGGCCGACATCACAACGGCACGAAGGCCAACAATCACAAACGGCACGAAGGCTGATAAGCACAGCGGCACGAAGGCCGAGCGGAGAAAGGGTGGATATACCTTGCCCACGCTCGTAGGCGGTTTGGTGACGGTAGGGGCATCGGTAGGACGAGCACGCGGAGAAGACGGCCGAGGCACCTCCTCCTCCCCTCCACCTCGGCTTCCTCCTCCTCTCCCCCTCTCCCTTTCTCCTCCTCCTTCCTCTCCTCCTCCTCCTTCTTCCTTTTTCTTCTCTTTTTTCCTTCTCCTTCCTTTTCCTTCTCTTTCTTTCTCCTCTTTTTTCTTCCTTCTTCTCCTCCCTTCTTCTTCTTACTGCTGCTTCCTCCTTCTTCCAAGCCGACGGCAAGACCAGGGGAGCACGGGGGCAGCGGGGCCGGTGCGTGCTGAGGGAGAGGACGAGCGTGTGGCCGTGGTGGTGGTATCTGTGTGACGCAGCGACGATGGCCTTTGGCCTGGGCTCCCTGCACTGGAGCCGAGGCGCTGGCCGGGAGGCGAAAGTGCCGGGGGGGGGTGCTGGGGGCTGAGAGTATGGGTGTGGGGGTCATGCCGGCATGGGGGCCGGAAGGGTGTGTGGTGTGTGGCTGGGAAGCGCGCCGGATCGAGCAGAAGCAGCAGGGTGGTGGTGGCTGGCTGGGGGTGCTTTCGGGTAGGCGTCTGGTAGTAGCGTGGTGTGAGGGGGGCCGCGGCGTAGCGTCGTGACAGGTGAGTGGGGGTGTGGCTGCCGGGGATCTGTGTGCCGCTGGACCTGAAAGCAGAGTGGGTGGCGGGGTTCTGGGGGGGGGGGGATTTTGGGCGGCGGCCATTTTCTATTCGGCCTTTTGCCGAGTGCTCGAAAGGGCACTCGGCATTTTTTTTTAAAACTTATTTTGCCGAGTGTGCCCCTGTGCACTCGGCAATTTTTTTATTTTTTAAAACTTATTTTGCCGAGAGTGCGGTATGGGCACTCGACAATTATTTTTTATTTTTGAAAATCAACTTTGTCGAGTGCCCCCTGGGCCGGCACTCGGCAAAGCCCACTTTGCCGAGTGCCCCCCATGGCACTCGGTATTTTTTTTTTGATTTTGGGCCCAAATTTTTTTCAGTGGCCTTGTGATAGTATTTCAAACTCTATTTTAAAATTTGGGGCAATTTTGACTTTTTTTTGATATATTTCATTAGTTTATTTCGTTTCGTCGAATTTTTTGGGATATTTCAAATTTGAACTATAGGTACATGGAATAATGGACTTTGGTCATCCAAAAATTGATACTCATGATATTTAGGGTATGTTTAGGTCGTATTCAGGAACTCACATGAAATCTCGAGCATCTCGTTGACGTAACATGTCGAGGTACTTGCCGGAAATGTGATTTTAAATTATATAAAATGCAAACGAAGTCCGAAAATCACAAAACTTGTCGAGGCGTTGTGTTATCGCATGTGGAGGCTGTGGTAAAAAATTGTGAAGGTTTCAAGCAAGTTGTGACGTCGGATGCCAAAAACCCAGACATCTCCTCATGATTTTCGGACTTTGTTTGCATTTTATATAATTTAAAATCACATTTCCGGCAAGTACCTCAACATGTTATGTCAACGAGATGCTCGAGATTTCATGTGAGTTCCTGGATACGGCCTAAACATACCCTAAATATCATGAGTATCAATTTTTGGATGACCAAAGTCCACTATTCCATGTACCTGTAGTTCAAATTTGAAATATCCCAAAAAATTCGACGAAACGAAATAAACTAATGAAATATATAAAAAAAAATCAAAATTTCCCTAAATTTTAAAATAGAGTTTGAAATACTGTCACAAGGCCATAGAAAAAAATCTGGGCCCAAAATAAAAAAATTTGCCGAGTGCCATGGGGGGCACTCGACAAAGTGGGCTTTGCCGAGTGCCGGCCCAGGGGGCACTCGACAAAGTTGATTTTCAAAAATAAATTTTTTTTTGCCGAGTGCCTGGCGCCGTCACTCGGCAAAATAAGTTTTAAAAAAAAAAAAAATTGCCGAGTGCCTGCAGCTGGCACTCGGCAAAATAAGTTTTTAAAAATAAAAAAAATTTGTCGAGTGCCATCCGTTAGGCACTCGGCAAAATCTGACGGCAGGTGGCCGCCGTCACGGGCCGGCCACCTTTTGTCGAGTGGGACTTTTGCCGAGTGCCGCGGCACTCGGCAAAGCCCAGATTTGCCGAGAGCCAGGCTTTGCCGAGTGCCTGGCACTCGGCAAAGCCACCTCTGCCGAGTGCTTTATTTTGCCGAGTGCGGCACTCGGCAAAATATTTCTTTGCCGAGTGCCCCGATAAAAAGCACTCGGCAAAGTCTCAGGCACTCGGCAAAGTATAGTTTTCCAGTAGTGGTACCTTTGTCTAGGAAATAGAAATCCCATTTCCAAATCTTACAGTGGATGACTTGTTTATTCATGCAAACACGAAAATATGATACAAAAAACATACAACAAGATATAGAAAAATAGAGATACATATTATAGCACAAGGCCTGATCCTTTGAGCCAGGCCCGGCTCTACAATTTTAAGGGCCCTTGGGCAAGCAAGACTATAACGACCCGTTGAACTATGTAAAGACCAAATAATAAAAGTTAATTTGCAGCATATATTTAGTTTGTATAAAAGATAACTGTAGTACAACAAGAAAATTAAAAGAACAATGATTGTTATGATTACCTCAAATAAAAATATAATGCTTCAGTGCCTTGTAAAAAACCATCTTTAGTCATTTATTGATGCAAAATCTTTAAGAACAATATAAAGATCAATGTTGTCCAAAACATTCTCCCCAATATTTTACTTTTCTGAGCGCCCGACAAATGCTTCTTAGGCAGCATCTAATAAGTATCTAAATAAATACATTGAATTAGAACTTTATAACCCTACCTCTGTACAAGTAAAGCGCATACACAAAACAATTAAACAAATAAGAAAGAATAGGCTTCAATAAGGTAATGTCCCTGGCGCTAGCTTCCAGAGGTCCAAGTAAAAAATTGGAAATTAAAAAATACTAATCGGTCATGGGTATTGGCATGTTGGGGTTGCTTACTGTGATTGCATCTGCTGTTCGCCGTCCTTGCATGCAGTTGCAGCTCGCGTCGTCGCGGCACCACGGCGGTGTGCCGGTGTGCGGTGCGTCGGCGAGTCGGCGACCACGTCGGGTGAGTCGGCGTCTCCACGCAAGAATAGCGCGTCCACGTCGATGAGCAAGAACAGGAAGCGCCGGCGCCGGCGGAAAACGAACGCTAGCTCCTCGCTCGATCTGCGGCCTGCGCGGCAGAATAGAAATAGGTAGGTATGGTACGGCATGGGCTGATGTTTGTTTGGCCTTTAAAAGCTAATGCCAAATAAGAAATTATATCTACTAATTACCTATATGCTCTTGGGCCCCCTAGCTCCTTGGGCCCCCGGCGGTCGCACCAGCTGCCCTCCCCCTAGAGCCGGGCCTGCTTTGAGCTTCTCTTCCACAATGCAATTTAGCTTTCTCCCCATCTCCTCGCTCATGTGATTCACCCAGTCACCCACCTTTCCTTTCCTAAAATCTCAATAACTATGTTGCCAAGCCGAGCAAATTCTCCTGGTTGGTTGGTAGACAAGCTACTAAGCTTCTCGAAGCTGCACAACCTCACCACCTCCTCGGGTATCCCGTCCTCTATTTCCTTAATACTAAATGGGACACCCAGGAACGTTGCAAGCCTTATGACATACTTTGTTGGCTCTAAGGTCATATCCTCATACTTGAGGAAAAGAACCTTATCAGGTTTTGCAATACTCTCCCTCCAGTACTCGAGACAATGGTCCCAAAAGGGTCCATTGCTCGAGAAACCTTCAGTGAACATGTCGAATGCTGTTTCCATGTCAACACAGTGTCCCCTATGCATCTTATTATCAAAGTGCCACCGAGACACAAAGGCATCCTTAGGGTCTCGACAGATATACACAACTAGACAACCACAGTTGGCTATGGACTTTGGGAACAATGAAAGAGGCATATGAGTGGCAGGAAGCCTTGGGGATGGGAGGTTCTCCAAATAGGTAAGGTTCTCATGGCTAGGGGCTTCTATGGATGGTACCACCTCTTGAGGATGACGAAAAAGAAGAGGGTGGCTGCCAAAGTCATACCGGAAGCGGTTGATGACTGTAAAGGCGAGGGCTTTCAGCCATGTGGTGCCGCACTTGGGGTTGGTAGCAAGGATGGCATCTTCGGGGCGAGGTTTGAAGCCATTTTCGATGCGCAGCCTGCTGTCTACGAAGTACGGGCGGAACCAGTAGTTCTTGTAGAGCACCAGTGGCTCTGACCACCCCTCTCTTGCTGGGAGTTTGGATATGAAATGGCTTCGATCGGACGAGCTATCTGTGGCACTTCCATATATTTTGAGCTTGTGACATATAGCTCAACAACTACAATGGAGTTTTTCCAGTCTCCCTCGATGGGAGGTTTGGATGGCATGCATGCAAGAGGCCGGTGCAGATGGTGCGAATTGAGGTGCGCGCTGCTTGCTCGCGCGGAGCATAATAGCCCAGGCATGCATCATGCATGTCGCCTTTATCTAATTAAGGTAAGCACCATGCATGCATGCTCTCGCAGATTCGCAACCATGTATATTGATTGAAGAGATGGAGCGAGAACAACAGGCTTGTTGCATGACTGTAGTGCACGAGACGTATGTACGTACGTGAGCGAGAGCGAGCGAGGCCAACGCCAACTGGCCAAGACACGACGCACCTCGCCGCTCTCGGTGTGCCGGTGCAGTTGGTGGTTGTTTGGTTGGCGTTTGGTCGATGAGAAAAGCCGCCACGCATGCACGAGACGCGCCCAACCCGGCTCTCGTGCGTGCGCTGTACACGCGGCTGCATTGCTCGCTCTCGGGTGTCTGACGCACGTCTCCTCGCTTCAAATTGGCAAATTGCTTGTGTACTTGCTCATGAGTTTGGCAGAATTTGCTTGCATCTTTACCTCTTTACCGGAGATTTCAGTTTTCTTAGTCTCCCAAGTCCCAATCTCCGGATGTTTCGAACTACATGCCTGTTGCGTTTTTTGTTTGCAGCTAGCTTGATCGTGCTGACTTTTGCTGACCGGCACTGTACCGATTACTTCATTAACAATTTTTTAACACAGCTAGCCTTTGTTCTTCTTTTTTGCAGCAACTACTTTGTTGTTGTCCAATTTTATAATTGCACAAGTTTGTGTTTCATGAAAATATGATCAACGGTTTGTTGTCGGATACTAGAGTGATAGCCTAGAGTATTGATAGGATTATGCCATGGTTTATCATGTGAATATTGCTTCTTACAAAGTCCCAAAATAAATGTGTTTCTAGGATTCTTAGTGAAGATCAATGTCACTTGGAAAGTACATATTTATCCATATCAAAACTTATTTTAGCATGTAATAATTGCACTTTGGGAGTAGAGAAAAAAAAAAAGCCTACTACAACTAGGTTAGACTATAACTATTTGCGCACATGTTTTGGGACAAATTTCAAATGCTAGAAATGCATCGACTTTGGGACGTAGTGAGTAGGCTAGATGGAAATATTTTATCTTCTTTGTCCAAAATAAAAGGTTGGAAATAATTTCTACTGCAAATGTGACCATTTTTGTATTGCAACCAATATATTATTGTTCAGGTTTGATTTGGGATGTTCATACTGGTTTAATTATCCATTAGTTCTAGCACCTAATTGGTGAGTACGTATTTTGCCATACTAGCAATGTTTGGGCTTATATGCACTAATTTGGTAAGTTGTATTTATTTGAGCAGTTTACAAGTTGTTGGACCAATTTGCGTCCACCTGCCGAGTTGTTGTATGATGGACGAAACTTACTTTTTAGAATTTGAGATTTTGTGTCATGGAGTTAATATGAGATCCATCGAGCTCAAGATAACGGCTTCACACCTATCAAGTTTAATTTGAGGTCAAGCGTCGCACCTACCAAATTTAATTTGAGGATAAGCTTCAACCAAACATATCCAGTAGTAAACCAGTAGACACCTTGCCACTTCCATATCCACTTTGAAACATGATAGAGAGTGCATATACAAATTATATTTCCAACTTGAAATGGATGACTTCTTTATTCATGCAAACATGGGAAAACAGTGTGTCAAATCATATAAGACAACATGAAAGAATGAGATACACGTTAAAACTTACATTAGTAGAGAACAGACATTTGATCCTCGGCCAAAATGGGCTCTAGTCCCGGAATTTTTTGCGCCCGGGACTAGAAATACCTTTAGTCCCGGTTGGTGTCTCCAACCGGGACTAAAGGTCCCTGCCCCAACGGCTACTGCGCCAGACAGAGGTGGCAGGGACCTTTAGTCCCGGTTGGAGCCACCAACCGGGACTAAAGGTATACTTTTACTCCCGGTTGGTGGCTCCAACCGGGAGTAAAGGTCTACTCCCGGGCCGTGGCTGCGCCCGGGGTTGGAAAGTTACTTTTAGTCCCGGTTGGAGCCACCAACCGGGACTAAAGGTCCCCCCTTTATATCCCGTCCGTCTCCTTCTTCCTCCCCGAGCCCGAGCTCAGCACATTTTGAAGCTCACTGCACTAGTGTTCTTGCTTCCTCCCTCCCTCCATTGTTCCTCCATCCATTATTCGATTCCTCCGTCGATTTCTTCGATTCCTCCGTCGATTCTTCAGTTGTAAAGGTTACCAATCTCATACTCTCATTTTTCACCGTTGTCTTATCTCATTTTGTTCATATATATATATATATGGTTCTTTATTGTGGTTTTTTTTCATTTGTAAGCAATTTGAGCTCAAAATCACTTCAAGCTTGCATATTTACATGAAATAAGGTTAAAGTAGCTAGTTGAACTTGCGGACCGTGTTCATCTCGGCGAGCACGTTCTCTGCCGAGCGATAACGGACGTCAAGGAGGAGCTTTGATTCTACGAGGGAGAGCGGCAACGGTCGTGGAAGACCGTGTTCCCTTCCTCGTAGAATTGGAGCTCTTCCGTGGCCAAGTACGGTGCCGTCCGGTGGAGAAATGCTCGCCGAGATGATCACGTAAGCAAGGTCAACTAGTACGGATGGTTATTTATTCACATGTCCCGATATCGTCGCAGAGATCATCAATCACCGCACTCCAAACGTAGTATATATATAAATATAAACTTAGAAAATAGTTAGAAAATTATAGAAAATCCATACTAGTTGAACTTGTGGACCGTGTTCATCTCGGCGAAAGCACGTTCTTCTCGTCGAGCGGTAACGGACGTCATGGAGGAGCTTTGATTCTACGAGGGAGAGCGGCAATGGTCGTGGAAGACCGTGTTCCCTTCCTCATAGAATTGGAGCTCTTCCGTGGCCAAGTACGGTGCCGTCCGGTGGAGAAATGCTCGCCGAGATGATCACGTAAGCAAGATCAACTAGTACGGATGGTTATTTATTCACACGCCCCGATATCGTCGCAGAGTCTCATTATGTGTGTACACTCCCATTCTTACGTTAATTTGCGGAAATATCATGTGAATTACTTACCCGCCATGAAGAAAAAGCGAGAACACAATGACCATTAAAAATATCATTGTTTAGAGATCTAGATAATTTTATAGTTTGTTAATTTTATTTGTTTATAAAAGGAGAAATTTATAGTGTATTAAAAAATGAGTATAGAGAGTAGATGGCAATCGCTTCCGGGTCCTCGGCCTCTCATGGGTTTCCAAAGCGACTTAGGCCGGGCCTTCCTCTCATTCCATGCGGCAAGTGTCGTGATGAGACGAAGATTGTGATGGAGTACCGAGTGAAGAAGGAGGGTCCCAACAAGGAATCGTATCTTCTACAAGTGTCCGGATCACAATGTGAGTTATTTTATCGTATTTAATGATTATGGTTAGTTTATACCTATTTTCATGATGGTTGTGATTAAAGTTCTAATTTTTGTTTTAATTTCAGTGGGATGGCAAAGTGGGCGATGTTTAGGCTTCTCTCTTGGGAGGAAGAGTATGTTGAACTCGTGCAAAAATATCTTGCACAACAAGCGAATCTGGCGGCTAATGAGGTAGTGATCCAGTAGAAGAAGCCCAAAGATGTTGGACAATCGGGGATATGTCTCATTTTAGTTGAGATTGGTCATGAAATCCTTGTGCTCTGAAATGTATTTTAGCTTTAGTTCTTTTAGTGGTAGTTGGGATTGTCTACATTGTAGCGATGCTTTCATAAATTTGTATCTTTTGTGGTGGCACACATGTTGTATAAATAATTAATTATGATCTAGGTTTTAATATAATATTTATGTCATGTAATGCAGATGAGCCGTCATTGGATGTATAATGCTGATCGCCGCTCCCAAGAGTTCATTGACGGCGTGCATTCTTTGTTACGTGCGGCCGAGGCAAACAAACGCGACGGGATTTGTGCACCACTGTGGCCGAGGCAAACAAATTTGTGCACCACTGTGGTTACCTTATACGGGACCGGCTCCCGATTAGTACCCGTGAATGGAAGAAGAAGATCAATGCTCCTCATATCAGTTTTGTCTCCGATCGTGACAAGGCGTTAATTTGGAATGATGTCTTGGTACATTTCACGCTCCAAACAGATGGTTATGATGATATAATAGATGGTGATGAATTGAAGGAGCGAGTTAGGGATTGGGCAATGAAGAAGATGGCCACCAGTTTCAGACTTGGAAGAAACACCTATACACGACGTATGTCAAGAAGAACATAGCACCAGATTTTACTGTCCCAGGCCCGATCTCAAAGCAGAGGCCCTATTGGGATGAGTTTGTACAGTACAAGACTTCGGAAGAGGGTGTGAGTCGGGTGATAAAGAACCAATGTAATGCCCAATAGAAGACATACCACCATACCTTGGGATCAGGTGGCTACCCGACTGCCATTAAGAAGTGGAACAAAATGGAAGCAGACCTTCTTGCTAAGGGTATCGGACTGAGAATCACTCGAGTGGGGAGAACATGCAAAGAATTGGTTTTTCGGTCATGGGGAACACTAGACCAGAGATGTGGAAGTGCGTTTATGGCGCAAGACCGCAAGAAGCAAAGCAGAAATATTATTTTATGCTCAGAGAGCTATCGCTAGTGGTGCGTTGAAGCCCAACAGAGAGAAGGATGAGTGACATACGCCATCGGGACTATTGAACATGGTGGCGAACTAGAGGCAAAGGAAGTGTCTCGTGTGAGCATGGATTCCCAGATGCAGACCTTCTATGTAAGTCGCCAGAGAAAGAAGGAAGAAGAGGCACAGCTGCTCCGAGAGATTGGAGGAAGTGGTGCGTGAAGCATGAGAGCGGAAAAAAACGTTGAAGCGAGAATGCAGGAGAAAATCGGAAGGCAAGTGCAAATAGCAGTGTGAGTGCAAGTAAGCGAGCATCGAGCGTAAATCAACATTAGCCAACTGCTCATTGATTGAAAAGCAATTTGCGCTTCCACGGAGATACCAAATCAAGGGGACACAGGATTGCGCTTCCCCTGTGGATGACGTCATTGAACCTTGTACAACGTGTGAGTACACATTCCGAAGGAGAATTCTACAATCAAGGTGGCTATCGGTCTTGTTAATCCTATCGACCGAACCAAGACACCAAGGATTCATGGGAATATAATCCAAGAAGGATATGCTACCATCTCGGTAGATAAAGCTAAAAAAGGTTTTAGTGATTTGCCTCTTGACATTCTCGGAGGTGATGGCGAGAAGACTCTAGGAGAAGCGGAGAAGACATTCATTCTATGGCGCAAGCGCTACATCATCATTCTAGGGATGTCGGCTCCACCTCCCTCTGAACTACCTCACCATAGGTACATGCGGATGAAAAAATACTACATCATTAATTTGTATTGGCTTAAATAATTAACAATCTGCTCATAATAATATGTCATTCCTTTT